GGGTCTCTGTGGTCTCTGGGGGTCTCTGTTGGTCTCTGGGGGTCTCTGTGGTCTCTGGGGGTCTCTGGGGGTCTGTGTGAGTCTCAGCTCCTCTGTTCCAGAGAAAAACTCTTGTTTTTATTTCATTTTAGAGGATGAATGAAATGAAAACTGGTTTTGAAGAGGAGCACAGCTGTCGGCCTTCAGAGTCCGTGACTGGGACGACTCTCAGCTACCACAGCTAGCTGCAGCTCAGTATTTCCTCCTGGCTGTGGCGGCCATCTTGAACTGAATCAGGTGTGAGTGTTTCTAACCTGTCCACTGCTCCATGAGATGTTTTGCTAACAGACATCCAAACGTCCTGTGTTCAGCTCAGGTTCAGACTGATAAACATTAGAAAGTTTTGTTTGGATGAGTTTCTGCAGGTTTCTGTCTTCCTGTGCAGACGGAGGCAGGACGTCGTGATCGCTCCCAGCCTCCTGCCTCCGGGGGCGGCAGCTCCTCACGCTCACCTCCAGGTGAAATCTGTTCATCTGTTCCCCTCCGACCTTTAATTTCTAATCTGAGAACATCTTCATTTACCCAAACAGAGCTGACGGGTCATCACCCCCCTGCACCCCCCCCCCCCCCCACCACGCAGTAAAGTCAGGTTTGATCTCCTGTAGGAGTGTGATGATGTAACACATGTAGGCAGAGCAGCACACCACACAAACACTCAAATTAACACAAAACTTATTCACATCCTTCCTTCCAACAAAACAGAAAAACATTTTTATAACCTCCTGTTTGAAAACAACACAACTGAACACTTTGGTTTGTAGAACTGATGTTAATTAGAGTGCTGTGAGAAGGGGCGGAGCTAGACTTTCTGCAGGGGGTGGTCAAAAACAACATCCAGGATTTGTAAAATCAAGATGGCCACCACAGCTAATTCCAAACAGCTGTTTTAAGAAACTTTGAGCTGAAGTTTTGTGATTGTAACTAAGAATGATCACATGCTGATTGCAGATGCTAAACTCAAATTAAGCTAACCACTAATGCTAAAGCTAATAAAAAAGCTATAATTAAGGCATTTCTGAACATACACAGCTAAAATATATAAAGTTCAGTAGCATCAGAGAACAGTCTTTAACAAATTTAAATGTAAATACATTAAGATTATTGCTCAAACAGTGGTTGTTACATTCTTGTAGCAGGAGGCTATAGCTAATCCTAATCCAGCTATTGATCTGTTTAATGATAGGCTGACACCACTGAGAGGCGGGAGCTGGCCAATGAGGAGACTGTTCATTTGTGTTAGCATCGTAGAGGCTAGTGACTAGCATAGATAAGCTAGTGTTAACAATGAAGAGGCTAGCCACTAGCKTGGATAAGCTGGTGTTAGCATACTGTGCCTTGAACACTAAGATCCCCACCTACTTGTCATATATATTTTGGGGCGGTCCATCAGGTGACAGAGGTAGCACTACCCATCCTGGCCACCTCTCTGGCTCCGCCCCTGTTTATGAGGTTAAACTTATTATGGAAACTGTTTAAATCCATCCATCATCCATCAATCCATCCATCATCCATCATCCACCCATCCATCATCCATCCATCATCCATCCATTCACCATCCATCCTTCATCCACCCATCCATCATCCATCCATCATCCATCCATTCATCCATCCATCCATCTATAGCTGTAGTGTTAGTCTCCAGCGGTCTTGGTGAAACAGAAGGAACTAACAGAACCTGACAGTCTGGTTCTGAAGCGACTCGGTGCAGCTAACTGAGCACAAAGACAAAAAGACATCCTGCAGTAGCCGGTTGCTCATTATGGCTCCTCGGTGTCAGAATGTGTCCATATTCAGAGGCTGGCAGTGGACAGAACTAAAGTTAGAACACAAAGTGCCGTCAGAAATAGACCCCCGTCCTAAGAGACCTGCTCTTTAAACATTACAGAGTGTTCGGACCACCAGAGGATCACCTTTTACACCTCAGAGCTGCAGCGAACCTGTCACATTTACAGCTTCTGCTTTTCTTTCAGCACCCCCGCCCCCGCTAATGACCAAACATGTTTGTAATTAATGTTCTGAACAAACAAAATGCTTCAGCTCTTCATTAGGCAGATGTGAGAAACAGTCATTTATTTCCTGATTTAATGGAAACTTTTTAACATTCTGTTCTCAGAACTCAGTGTTCCACCTGCATGAAGAGGAGCAGCTCTTCATCATCACCTTCATCTCAGAGAYGTGCAGTTTTCAGCTGCAGACCCTTCAGACACAAAACACTTAAACAACAAATAAAACCAACAACATCAGACAGTTTGGTCCCTGAACTTCAGCAGCATGAAGACCCAGTTCTGACCGCTGCAGCTTCATCATCTCCCTCCTATTCAGGGTCGAGTCCAGGAGCCAACAGGTCCAGGAGAAACACCCAGATCCACTATGGGATAAAACTTGTGCCAACAGGAAATGAATCTGAATTGCTCAGATTGGATCTGAATGTTCATAATTTGACAAAGTTATTTTATTGCAGTGATTAATTTGACCTATATGTAGAAAATGTTACATTTACATGATGACATCATGGATCAGTCAGCAGCAGCATCTGATCAATATGTGATCCATGATGTCATCATGTAAATGTAACATTTTCTACATATAGGTCAAATTAATCACTGCAGTAAAATAACTTTGTGTGTTTTTGTCACTTTTACAGTGGATTGCATCAACTCTGTTACATCCAGAAGGGAAACTTCACCAAAGTGAAACATAAATCTGTGGATCTGTGTTTGATTACTCTGCCTGGCTTTCTCAAGGACCAGGATGTGACACAAACATCTGAATTATGGAACTGAAACTAGTCAAACTGAATTTTTAATAAACCAAAATACAGTTTCAAAGTAAATTAATTCAGATACAAAACTTTAAATTCAGTTTCAGTTTAGTGAAATTTATTTTCAAACCAATGAATTCTGTTTCAAATTATGAACATTCAGATTCAATCTGAGCGATTCAGATTCAGTTCCTGTTGGCACAACATTGATCCCATAGACCTCCCTCTCCACATGTCCTCCAAAGCGAGGCGTCCTGATCAGCTGAGTCCTTCAGAGCCCATGTGTTCAGGTGGAACTCTGACAGATAATCATCTTTTGTTTGTTAATAAACGACTGAAGAGGAGGGACAACGTGGAGGTTCAGCGAGGAGGAAAACAGCCACTCAGCATGACGAAGCAAAAATAAATCRGTCCGGTTTCACAACAGAGACGGCCTTTGGTCACAGACGTTCTGACCCGTCTGAAGTTCACGGAGACATGAGAAGATTAACAGCAGAGGCCAACTTAAAAACAGTTTAATAAATAAACTCATCTGTCAATCAAAGACAGAAAACTAAGCTGCTGAGGCAGATGATTTATGTCCCATCAAATAAATACATTAAAAACCAGCTCCTTTATATTTTAACTGAAATGATTATTAGTTGTGAGTCTGCTGACACGCAGCCAGTGTTGACTTTGTCCAGTTGGTTTATAAACATTTGACAAAAACAACAAAATGACATAAACGCACAGACACACTATTTTATTTTATTTTATTATTGTCTGAGCGCTGAGTCAGCAATCATTGTTTTATTTTGCCATGATTTCTTTTTACAATCTAACTGCTGCAGATTAACTTTGTGCTATTTTAGCTGTTTTTAAATCAGAATGTTCAGCTTGTTTAGCAGATAGCTATAACTGTTGGTTTTTGTAACGTTGATATTTTTCTAAATATTTAACTTTATATACAAATATTTTCTTTAATACAAAACTCTCAATCCTTTCAAAAACATTATTTTTTAAAATCGACTTCAGCATACCACTTACACTAGAACGACTAATACTCCTGATGCTAATGCTACAACTGCTAATACTCCTGATGCTAATGCTACAACTGCTAATGCTCCTGATGCTACAACTGCTAATACTCCTGATGCTAATGCTACAACTGCTAATACTCCTAATGCTACAACTGCTAATACTCCTGATGCTAATGCTACAACTACTCATACTCCTGATGCTAATGCTACAACTGCTAATACTCCTGATGCTAATGCTACAACTGCTCATACTCCTGATGCTAATGCTACAACTGCTAATACTCCTGATGCTAATGCTACAACTGCTCATACTCCTGATGCTAATGCTACAGCTGCTAATACTCCTGATGCTAATGCTACAACTGCTGATACTCCTGATGCTAATGCTACAACTACTCATACTCCTGATGCTAATGCTACAACTGCTGATACTCCTGATGCTAATGCTACAACTGCTCATACTCCTGATGCTAATGCTACAACTGCTCATACTCCTGATGCTAATGCTACAACTGCTAAAACTCCTGATGCTAATGCTACAACTGTTAATGCTCCATATGCTAATGCTACAACTGCTAAAACTCCTGATGCTAATGCTACAACTGCTAATGCTCCTGATGCTAATGCTACAACTGCTAATACTCCTGATGCTAATGCTACAACTGCTAATACTCCTGATGCTAATGCTACAACTGCTAATACTCCTGATGCTAATGCTACTGCTGCTGATCTTGATATATGTTACAGGATTGGGCGTCACGTGACATGGGCATACTTCGCAAGGGGGATTTTTATGTATTGAGCTAATGCTAACACTAACCATTGAAATCAATGAGCAGAACGTAGCGGGGCGCAAACAAACGGTTTATAAATGTACAAATGGTACAAGTACTTTGCTATAAACTGCAGAAATTGTTACAACACCTTTGCAAGAGCTAAAAGGTTATGTTTCACAGGTAAATATTATGCATATTTAACCTGAATTTATTATTTTAATCATAAAACCTGTACGCTAACATTAAAAAGCTGCAATGTTCATCTTTAACCTTATTTAGAAACAATTTTACATTGTCAAAATAAAAAACGGTTTCTTCAATGCATAACAGAGATCCAGTTTGTACACGTCCATGTACCTAGCATTGCGCTAGCCTCACCCAATCCAGTAATATATATCAATGCTGCTATTACTCATGATGCTAATGCTACAACTGCAAACAATACCACTGCTAATAGTACAACAGGTAATAATACTTCAGCAACTATTCTGCTGCTATAAGTACAACCACCACTTGTGTTGCTAATTCTTGTACTGCTACTGCAAATGCTAATTTCATTAACACTATAAATGCATAAGCCTGTAAGTATGTTCATGCTAATTGTGCTAATTTTAGCATTAACACYGATACAGCTAAAGCTGAGCTACTGCTATAGCCATTTGTTAGTTTAGCTTGTAGCTAGTATTTTCTTTTAGCTATTTTTTTCACTTTTAGGTTTTGATGGCATTGTACTTTTAGCTTGTGTTTTGCTATTTTTAAGTAGCATTTTGCTACTTTAACATTTTAGCTAGGAGTTTGATTCTTGTAGCTTAGTTAGCATTTTATTAGCTTTCACTCTAGTATGAGTAACCAGCACTCACCTTTCACTGAACCATTTCTTTAGTTTATTTTTTTAGCAGCAGGTCTGTTGGTCTAACGGTGACTTCCGGTTTGTTTTCTCTGGGACTGCAGGAATCACGTGGGACAGGTGAGTTCAGGTCAGGTGAGTTCAGGTCAGACAAGCTGAAAAAATGCACGTGTTGTTACTTATTTTCCTGTTGTCACTTATTCACAGCTCCCAGCAGAACCTGCAGACCTGTGGACCACCAGCCCTTATTTTTCCAAAACAAAGGTGACCTTTCTGAGGACGTGCATTTTTCCACAGCAGCTCGTCTCGACTCAGGTTGATCTAAACCTGTGTTTAAAGACCAACCAGGAAGGAGCAGAGCAGTGATCAGACCTGCAGCTCTTCTGGTCCAAATGCTCATAAATTAGTATCATAAATGAATAAATATCCTGGTTCAGTGTGCAGAAAACRAGATGTTCCTGTTGGAGCCAAACATTCATCTTTACAATAAATAATATTCAATAATGACAGATTAGGATTAAAGGAACCATTACTTTATTTGAAACCTGCTGAKTTTTATAACTTCAGAGTCGATCTTTTTTTCAGCAGGAAGTCATCAGGATTAATTAACATTTATTTTTTGTGTTAATCAGGTTGTTTTTGTTGGTTATAAAACCTGCAGCTCATATAAAGCCTCATCTCTTCCCGATTCTTCACTTTAAACTCCAGCTGGGAAAAATAAACAATAATTTCAACAAATAAACTTTGTTTTAGAGGAAAATYAACCAGTTTTACAAGATGTTCATCTCATGGGTCCGATTCATTTAGGTTTAGTTTGATATTTAAATATTTGGGAAAATTTTAAAACTCAAAAAGATGTACCAGTTACATTTTAACTAACCGATAAAACGGTTAGTTTGCTCATGTAAATTGGCAGTGGCGGCCATCTTGAATCAGAGTTTCACATTAAAATCAGTCCTGTTTAACGGAGAAAAAACAAAAGAAATAAAAAAAGTCTTCGCCAGTAAATTTTATTTGGAGATATTTTGTAGAACAGAGAAACCAATGATTACAAAATAAAGTTTGTAAGTGTTCTACATGCTACACCTTAACCTAATTCATCATGCTTGTCTGGGGRAAAAAGAAAAACAAAGTACAATAAAAACAGACGTTACACTCAACATTACTCTGATGTACCTTTCTGTCTCCACGCTTCRCTGTGACTTCAGATAAAAACAAACTAAGACTTTTCAGCGCTTTGCTTCAACAGACAGAAGTTTTCCTGCTGAAGACTTAAAGCAGGTAGAATTTAAAAAACAAAAACAAACAGAACGATACCCAGGAGGCGGCTGATGAAAAATGGAAAGCTTCTTCTCCAACAGAACACGTGAACTTCACGTCCGACCCTTAAAACAAACGCGCACATCCTTAGTGCCGAAATGAAAACGGAAGTTCGTCCAACTCTTCAATAATCACATCGACAAAACACAAGTTCAAATAAATATCGCACATCTGCTAGAAATAAATAATGATTACTGAAAACACCTCACTAGGTTAAATGCTGAACAGAATGTGGTCGGAGACCGCTTCACTTCATGGTACGAGGATGTAAAGCACTAGTGTGGCTTCGAGTGTCTCTCACGGCTGTTACCTTGAGGTAGATAACRCATTTACATTTAAAGAAGAATGGTTGCTGCTGGCATCATGTGTCAGATTTACAGTATGAAAGGGGTCAGGAAGCTTTCTTTGGGGAAAATATTAAAGTTAACCAAATAAAAAACAAGAAATCCCACCCACCCCGAAGGATTTGATCCAACCCAGAACAGGAAAGGCTGTTAGAAAGCACTTTAAAAGGCCCAGGTGATGGTTAGTCTGCCGTCCTTCCTCACGTCACATCAAGTTACTCGTTTCTTAAATCMTCCTCTGCTCTCGTCTACAGTACGTTCATGTGAGAGTGACATGATGGGTCGGGTGGTACCTGACTCGGCTGAGACTGCTGGACTCAGTTCATGAACAGAAGATGTGACGGAGTCTCAAAATGTCTTTAAAAGGTTCGACATTTACTTGCTGAGACTCACTGTCTCATCGCTCAGATTTTTATCCTGGTTTTAAAAATACATTGTGACGAAGATTTACCAGTCAGAGGTTGTCACAAGTATCCTCAACTTGGCCTAGTTTAGTCCTGGGCGTCTCAAACCAGTCTCAGTTTAGTCCTGGGCGTCTCAAACCAGTCTCAGTTTAGTCCTGGGTGTTTCAAACCAGTCTCAGTTTAGTCCCAGGTGTCTCACATCAGTCTCAGTTTAGTCCTGGGTGTCTCAAATCTGTCTTAGTTTAGTCCGGGACTCTTAAATCAGTCTCAATTTTGTCTTGGGTGTCTCAAACCAGTCTCAGTTTTACAGTAGGTATTTGAAATATGTCAATTTAGTCCCAGGTGTCTTACATCAGTCTCAGTTTAGTCCTGGGTGTCTCAAATCTGTCTTGGTTTAGTCCTGGGCCTCTTAAATCAGTCTCAATTTAGTCCCAGGTGTCTCACATCAGTYTCAGTTTAGTCCTGGCCGTCTCAAATCTGTCTTGGTTTAGTCCTGGGCGTCTTAAATCAGTCTGTATCTCAGTTTAGTCCCGGGTGTCTCAAACAGTCTCAGTTTAGTCCCGGGTGTCTCAAACAGTCTCAGTTTAGTCCTGGGTGTCTCAAACAGTCTCAGTTTAGTCCCGGGTGTCTCAAACAGTCTCAGTTTAGTCCTGGGTGTCTCAAACAGTCTCAGTTTTGTGGGAGTCTCAGGAGTGTTAGAGCTGTCTTCTGACACCTTCACAGGACCTCTTCTCTGCAGTAAACAAGTCCAGATCTAAGAGTCCTCTATAATAACTGAAAAACTGGTCCACATCTGACTGCACTTCATTAGTGTCCACCAGCAGATTAAAATAAGTTTTTATGAAATAAGATTAGTTTTACAAGACGTGCACAAGTTCTGATTCTCAAAAACTGTCTGCCTCGAAACTCCAAATTCAAAGAGACTAAAACATAAAGTTCTGGTATGTTGACTGGTCCAGAACAGCTGCAGCCCAGTGAGGTACCAGCGTTAGCGATGAAGGCGTAGACATGAACTCATAAAGGCCTGGTGATGAAGGCTCAGAGTGATGACAAAGAACTCTTTAAAAATAACAAATCACCTGCGAACTTCAAGAAACAAACGTAACGACGATAAAAAAGGTATGAAATGATTCAAGTACAATAACATACCAGATTATAAAAAATAAAAACACAACTGCCTACAAGTCGCACTGAGGGAAGAAAGAGATTTTCCACTAATTCAGATGCTTGAAGATGCTGCTGTAGGTTTTGTGGGCGATTTGAGGCGAGCACTTGACAGCACAAGGCGTGAGGGAAGCCTGGATGGATCTCAGAGGCAGGTCATCGGGGCCGTCGAAGCCGGGCAGGGCCAGAGAGTCCAGCTGCATATTAAGAACGATCTCTGCGCTGCTGTCCAGGAAGCTGTCGTCCAGCTCTTTCACCACCGAGGACTCCGTCTCCGAGCCGGCCACCATCTCAGACACGCCCTCCTCCTTCCTGCTGAACAGGCGGTCCAGGTAGCTGGTGTAGGTGCTCTCCTTCTGGAAGTGGTCCACGTTACGGATGTCCCAGCACGCTTCATCTATCAAGCAGCCRTTCTCCCCGACTCTTTCCGAGGAGCTCAAGTTTTCCCAGGGTTTAGCGGGCCAGACGCAGTCCGTGGAGACGACCCCCAGGCCCCCTCCTCCCAGCTGGGCCAGGTTCACCAGGCACTTCTCCTCCTTCTCCTGACTGATGGTCTTCGACACGGAGCTGGAGCGCGGGGCCTCAAGCTGGGAGACGGAGAAGTTGAGCTCGTTCAGGAGGCCCACCTCGCTGAGTAGGGTCACCTCGCTGAGCAGGGTCACCTCGCTGAGCAGGGTCGCCTCGGGACACGGTTCTGGCTGCAGGCTCAGTTTGATGGTGCTGGCGATGAAGGAGTCAAAGTCAAAGCCTTGGTTCTGTTGGCTCTGAGGCCGTTCTGTTTGGTGTTTCTCCTGGACGCTGTCCTTCTCTACCGGACTCTGGGTCTTCTCYGCCTCCTGCAGGGCCATCTGGGCCTTGACCAGCCCGTTCTTCTCACACTTGGACTTGGCCTTGCGCTCGGCCTTCTCCTTGCTCTGCTGCTCCTTCCAGTTGGAGAGGTCGATGATGAGCTTGGGCTCGTAGTAGTGGTTGACCTCGCTCTCCCTCCAGATCAGGTTGTCCAGGTAGGAMGGCGACACGGCCTTGTAGTTGCAGGTGTGGCTGCACTGCACCTCGCAGTACTTGTTCTCGTGGTGCTCGTCCTGCCACGACCGCTCCGCCGGGTGTCTCGCGGAGTAGTCGAAGGTCGGGTCGTCCAGGAACTTCTCCCGGTCTCCGTCGGTGTATTTACGTGGATCGACCTGAACGGGAACACACGGGTTCAGGTGGGAACTCCCACAGAGGAGCAGAACCATGAGCGCCACATACCTGCACCTCCTCTTCATCGGTGACATCAGAGAGAGCTCTGGGGTCCACCTGGACTTCATCGGGGTCATGGGTGCTGTGCAAGTGCCAATCAGCCTCTGAGAACTGGCTCTCATGATATCTAATTCAAGAACCAACAGGACATCATTCAACACTGAGACAACAGTCTGACCTGTGTGAGATAAATGTTGGACCAGCAGGAACTGAATCTGAATGTGTTTAATTTGAAATTAATGCWTTGGTTTGAAAATAAATTTCAYTAAATTGAAACTGAATTTAAAGTTTTGTATCTGAATTAATTTGCTTTGAAACTGTATTTTTGTTCATTAATTTGACTACTTTCACTTTCAGCTTCAGATTACTTGATCAGATGCTGCTGACTGATCCATGATGTCATCATGTAAATGTAACATTTTCTACATATAGGTCAAATTAATCACTGCAATAAAATAACTTTGTGTGTTTTTGTCACTTTTACAGTGGATTGCATCAACTCTGTTACATCCAGAAGGGAAACTTCACCAAAGTGAAACATACAGTGGTTTGCAAAAGTATTCATACC